CCAGCCCGCCGCCTAGTCCACCTCCCTCTCCCAGCCCATCTCCGCCTCCGCCGCCAACTCCAAATCCACCTGAGCCTAGCCCTCCTCCCCCCCCGCCCAGCCTGCCATCTATGCCTCCTCCTCCGCTTCCACCGCCGCCCTTGCCACCGCCGCCTTTGCCACCGCCGCCCCTACCGCCGCCGCCCTTGCCGCCGCCACCCTTGCTGCCACCGCCTCCGTCGCCACAATCTCCGCCGCTGCCGTCGCCGCCGCCTCCCTCGCCGCCGCCCCCGGGGCTTCCGCCGCCATTCTTGCCACCGCAGCCCTTGACGCCGCCGCTCTCCACCTCGCCCTCGCCGCCGCCGCCCTCGCTGTCCCCCTCGCCGCCGCCTTCCACGCCGCCGCCCACGCCGCCGCCTCCCACGCCGCCGCCACCCGCCCCTCCGCAACCCTCGCCGCCGCCGCCCTCACTGTCGCCCACGCCGCCGCCTCCCACGCCGCCGTCCCCTGCCCCTCCGCCGCCCTCGCCGCCGCCGTCGGCGGCGCCAGTTCCATTCCTGCCCCAACCCACACCGCCACCACCAACGCTGCCACCACCAAAGCCACCACCGCTACCGCCGCCTTAGGGGACCCCTAGGGTTCTGAGGGCCGGGGTTTTTTAAGACCTTTTAAGAAACGAGGAGGTTTGGGGGCTTAACTTGCCATTTAAGAGATTGCAGGCGCGGGGGGTCCCTCTTTTAAGACCGTTTAAGAAAATCGGCCTCGCCGGCATGCGTCGCTGGGTTCCGCGCCGTTTTCTCCAATTGTCCAATACTGCCGTTATTGGGCACAAACCCGCCTCTGAAGACACATCTGTAAGTCTGGTGCACTGGCAGGAGCCATACTTGCATAGGGGACGCGTGCTAGCTGACTGTAGCCAGCTTCCCGGCCTACGGCGTCTACCGGGAGCCTCCCGGACCACGGGAGCTCTTCCGCACCGTTTAAGCGTTTAAGACCGTTTAAGGAATCGGCGGCCCAGGCAGCCTTAAAATGGGCCTAGGCCCGTTTTAAGCCGTTTAAGCCGCAGGCGCCCCAGGGCCCACCCTTTTAAGCCTAGGGGTCCCCTAAGACCGCCGCCATTGACACACAACCCCTTGCTAGCCGTGATTTTTGTGTTCATGTTCATGTTCATGTGGTTGACGTGTATATGTCACGAGCTCGAGCGAGAGATCGAGAAGCCACTCTCCCGCGTCCGCCCTCTCCTAGGAAGAAATAATTCCGTCCTCGAGGAGCGCCGACTTCTTTACCGCTTTGGCGCCAGAGTTTGCGCTCCCGCCGCCACGCGCTCCGCCCGAGCCCTCTGCCCTCTTGCAGGAGGAGAAAATGGACAACTATTCAGTGAAAGGGACACATGGAAGCAGGAAGCAGGAAGCTTCCATCCCGGCGGTGGTTCGAATCCACGTGAGCCGAAGGTGAAGGGCTTTAGGGCTGGGGGTCTGAGGCTCACCCAGTGTGGAAGTAAGGAACTGCTCCGCCCACCCGGATCGTGCTGAACAAGTTCCTCTTGTAGCTCGATCGCTCACACCGCCACCACCACCGACGTGTGCCAGCTGAGGTGTCTGATGGACATGGCTCATGGAGAGAGGGGGGGGGGGGGGGGCGACACTGCTCCGTTCTCGGCAGCGTGCACCTCGATCTGTACCGTGTACCGTGTTTGTTGACCCCCCCCCCCCCCCTCTGAACAACCAGCGAGGGGCGAGACGATCGAGGGGTCCTGTACCATGCACTCCAAGTGCTACAAGTGCTCTGCTGAATGAACGCCGCCGTGATCGGCGCTGATGCGTCAGCCCGAGCGTCAAAACAACGTGACCGAAAATATTGGATCGGACGAGAAAGACACAATATCCTACGCGGGAGAGAGATTTCTCCCAGTATGTACGTCTAATGATATAAGGGTAGCCCAAGCGAAGCGCCGGACTTCTCGTGAAGCCGCCACCCAGGTCTCGAGCTTCAGCTGGCGAACCATCATGCCGCTCTCGGCACAGAAGCGGCGCGAGCGCCGCGCCGCGCAGCGCGCTGCCGAGGCTCAGGACGCGGCTCGCGGGCAGCGCAACCGCCCGGCGCCGAGCCGGTGCTAGGCCGCCTACGCTGCGCCTGCTTCCTTGCGCGCCGCTGGACGTCGGCCGAGAAGACCGCTTCCCTCTGGGGACCCGACTCCGCGAAGATCGCGCGCGCGTCGTGAGTGGCGGCGCGCGCGCGATCTCCGTTCCCGGGCACGCCGGTCGCAGTGGCATGGGCTCCCAGGCTCAAAAGCGCTCCCGCCAACAGCGAGCGAGCGCCGCCGCTGCTCCTCCTCCCGCCGCCGCTCACCGAGACTCGGTGCCGCCGTTCGCCGCCGCCGCCGCCGCCGCCGCCGCCGCGGCCTCGCGCCTCGCCTCCGTCACCGCCGCCCTCCATCTCGCAGCGGCGCGTCCCTCTGATGGCGCGGGCGCCTCGCTCACCGGCGCCTCGCCGCCGCCGCCCCCCCCCCCTTCTCGCGCCGCTCCGCTCGTGGCCGCCGCCTCCCCTGTCAATCCCGCCGCCTCCCCTGTCCCATCCCGCCGCCCGCACCACCGCCGCCACCGCCTCGCGCCTCGCCGCCGCCGCCACCGACCGCCCTCCCCTGCGCCGCTGAGCGCGGTGCAGGGGGCGAGCCCCCGCTGCGCAGGTGCACTGCGCTCTCCGCGCCCCTGACGATTAGTGAGGAGGTAGGTAGGTGGTGGTGTTGCACAGCATGGAGCTCGGCGAGCGTTTAGCGAGCCCCTCAGCTAGTATCTAGATACGCGTAGGGGTCCCGTCCATGCGGAATCGACCCTATCAAGTGTACCGTGTTTGTTATGACCCCCCCCAATGAACACGCCAGAGAGGGAGGGCGAGACGATCGAGGGGTCCCGTACCACGCGGAATCGACCCTATCCAGTGCTCAAGTGCTCAAGTATGTTTTGGGGGCAGTCGTCCGTCCCCAAGAGAAGTCCTGGGCCGCGCTATCGTGGTCCTCACGATTTTTGCGGCGAGAAGAGCTATCGGAAACATGAAGCCTTCACGAGCTCTCTTTCGCGCGCAGCCCCTGCTAGCTCGCACTCGCCCCTTCTCGTCGGACAGAGGTGGCGCCATCGTCACTGGCGCAAATGGCCTGAAGCTGTACCTACCACCGGCAGAGGACCCAGTTGGACCATACCGGAAGGCAATCTACTGTCCTGTCTCGCAAATGCTCTTTACGTCGACGCACGTCGGCACAGACGAAGGCAACGCCATTGTCCGTGGCAGGGTGGGCGAGGGCGAGGGGCTGATTGCTCCTGAGCGGGCAAAGGTGTTGGCACGTCACGCGGGGCTGCGCCTCCTCGCCACACTCCACAGTGTCCTCGACGGCGACCTCAGCCGTGTGAGCCAGGTGCTGAAGCTGACTGGCCTAGTGAATGGTGTGCCGGAGTTCAAGGCTTACGGAACGGTCATTGACGGATGCAGCGAGGTTCTGATAGAGGCGTTTGGCGATGAGGTTGGCGTCGGCGCTAGAGTGTGCTGCGGCGCAGGACTGGGCGGAGCAGTGTCCTGCGACCTTGTGGTTCGCGCACGGCCAGCGTGAGTTGGCTGTGCTTCATAATGGGGCCGCATGAAGGAGATAGTGGGTGTGAACACCGCTGCGCAGCTCTTTTATTTTTCGGGGGGGTACTCTTTCTCCCGCTGGCGAGAGAAAAGCGGCAACTCCTCGCCGCCCAACGCGCACAAAATCTATTTGGGCAAGAGCGGCAACAGGCTCATCCTCCCTCCAAGCCCCAAGCTCAGCCGCAGGTCTTGCACTCGCCATAGATGGCGATCTCGTGCTGTGCACACGCCTCCCGCTTGTCCTCCGGCAAGTCACGACAGGGCATTGGGAGCGGGTCGGAGCAGTCCAGGTCGGGGCGCAAGCGGCAGACTTCCTTGAGCGACGGCGTTACTCGATCGACAACGAGCAGATGAAGCCACGGCAGCGCGCCGCCGCGGATGGCCTCCGCGAGCGCGTCCACGCCAACGTCGGTGATCGAGTTGAAGGAGAGGTGGAGGACGTGCAGCCGGTAGAGCGCGCAAGAAGGGCAGCGACCTGAGAAGCGTCGCAGTCTCTGTGAGGTGGTTTGGGCCGGGGCCTTGCTACCGGGGACAGGGAGCCGATAGTAGCACACGAAGAGCGAGTGCTACCTGGGGCCAGGCACGGGGTCGCCAGGGGCGGGATAAGTGGTTTAAGCGCCGGATACCGTTGCTCACGCTGCGCGCGAAGGAGACGAGGCCATCGTCTCCAATCAGATTCGACTTGAGGCTCAGCGTCTTGAGGTGCGGCAGCGCCCCGCGCTCGGCCGCGCGCCCCAGCGCCGCCAGCCCCTCGCTGCCAATCAGGTTGCTCGGCAGGTAGAGGTCGGTGAGATGAGAGAGCGCGCCATCGGCCATCACGTCGGCGATCTCGGCCAGCCGCGCGTCGTCAATCTTGTTCGCGGTGAGCGAGAGGAAGACGAGGTTACGAAGTCCTCCCAGCCGCAGCGGACCGGCCGCCGGCGCAAAGCTGGGCGAGTAGCCCACGCGGTTTGCCGAGAAGAAGAGGCGGGTCAGCTTAGGCAGCCCTCCGCGGAGAGTGGCGTTGGCGAGCGCGCCCAGGCCGGTGGCACGCAAGTTATTTGCCGAAAAGACAAGCACCTCTAGCGACGGCAATGCTCCTGGCTGGCCCGTCAACGCGGCGAACTCCTGCACGCCCGAGTCTCCGATGTTGTTGGAGTCGAAGTGGAGCTCTCTCAGGGCAGAGAGGCCTGGGCTGATGATGGCGGGAGCGAGCGCGTCGATTCCTTCGTACCCGAGGGCGGTGGTCCCAAGATCGAGGTACTGCAGCTGCGGCGTTGCCTCCTGCGCGAGAGCGCCCGCCAGCGTCGCCGCACCGCTCGCTCCGAATCGGTTGGCTGCGAGGCCGAGCCAGGTGAGGTTCGAAAGCGCTCCTGAGGCAGCGGCGGCTGAGGCGAGGGTCTGCAGGCCATCCGCCGAGAACATGTTGAGAGCAAGGTTGAGCTCTTCGAGCCTCGGCATCGCGCCTCCTGCGAGGGCGGTCGAGAGGACCGCGAGGCCGGCATCGCTTATGCTGTTGGCGTTCAGCTCGAGCTTTTCCAGCGCGAGCAACGGACGCGCCGCCGCCGCCTCCGCGAGGGAGATGATGCCCGTGTCGCCCATCTTTGTCTTGTAGATGTTGAGCGACGCGAGCCGTGGCAACCTGCCGTACACCACCGCCCGCGCAAGGGCGACGACGCCCGCGTCTCCGATGTCGTTTGCCGCGAGGACAAGCTCCGTCAGCCCGGCGCCCATGCCGCCGCTGCACAGCAGATGCGCGAGGGCGGCGCAGTCGCTCGGCTCGAGGTGCTTGCCGTACCACAGCGCGTGCGCAAGCTCGTCCTCCGAGAACCTCCCCACCTTCGAGTAGAAGGCCGAGAGCCTATCCTCGCTGACTGGCTCGGCACACGGTGGCAATGACAGCGAGGACGGCTCGCCGGCCACCGCCGCTGCGAGAGCGACGAATACAGCAGCGGCGGGAGGCATCGGTGGCCGTTTCGCTCCACCACTGCGAGCAGGCCCGGCTGCTCCCTCTTCTCTGGCGGCACACACTTCTCTGGCGCACGGCGCCGCACGGTCCTCGGCACAAGACTTGTACTTGCTACGAGTAGATGTGGTAAAATCCTCGTAAAATCCTCACTTTACCTGCTAGGTGCGTCTTGGATTTTTTAATCTTCGTGACTCTTGAGCACTTGAGCACTGGATGGGGTCGATTCCGCATGGTACGGGACCCCTCGATCGTCTCGCCCTCCCTCGCTGGTGTGAGTGTGTGTGTGTGTGTGTGTGTGTGTGTGAACTCACTCGCTGGTGTGTGACTCTTGACAAATTGCCGGCTCGCAACCCTAGAGGTTGCAGAAAGGGAGAAAGAAGAGTAGAGGGCGGCGAGGATTGCCCGAGGGGGCAGAAGGAAAGGGAGAAACAAAAGGGTGGCCAGTAGTCATCCCCCCCCTCCCCCCCCACCCACACACACACGAGCTAGGTGCCTCGCTCGCCGTCCTCACTTAAGGCGGCTGAGGGCCCAACTTGAGAATCGTGCTTTGAGTGGGGTTGTTTGGTGTTGGGTTGGGTTGGTGGAGTTGGGTTGTCCGAGTGGCTTGGTTGGGTTGTTCGAGTGAGGTTGGGTCGTCGGCGCGAAGGGTGAGGTCTCGACCGCCGCCGCTCACGCCAGCGAGCGGCCACTACCGGTGTTTTTGGCTTCGCCACCGTCCAAAGCGTGCGCCATACGCTCGCCGACATCGAACGAGGCAGCACGCCTGTCCGACGAGCGGCTTGCTGTGCGGACGCCTTCTTGTGGCTCTCGTCGAGAGCGTTTTGCGGCCCGGCGGGTGTGAGAATGTGTGTCGTTCTGATGTGTCACTGTGTACGTCACATCGGTCTTGATAACAAGCACGGTCGATCCGTCGAAGCGATACACTCGTTCCTATCACGTTGGACGGCTTGCATGGAGCTCTGTGCCGGCACACAGGAAGAGCCATGCTGCAAGAAGAGCTCGATGGGGAGCGAGAACCGTCAGAGGTGCTCACCCAGGTTTCGGAAGTCCGACTTGATGCGATCAGTTCCCCCCAGGTTTGACCGCGCAGCTCGCAAGACTCGTCGAGCACTCGCAGCCTCTCTGCGCCTCTCATGCTGCCGCGGCGCCTGCGGGAAGTTCAGTCTTTCCGGAAGATATCGTCGAGTTTTGAAAGCTGCGCGGTCAAACCTGGGGGGAAATAAGAGCGTCACGACGGTCTTCAGGTTACCCCTGAAGCTCTTCTGACGCTTCTCACTCCCCATCGAGCTCTTCTTGCAGCACGGCTCTTCCTGTGTGCCGGCACAGAGCTCCGTGCCAGCCCTCCAGCGAGATAGGAACGAGTGTATCGCTTTGACGGATCGACCGTGCTTGTTATCAAGACCGAGGTGACGTACACAGTGACACAACAGACGACACATAATCTCCCACCCGCCGGGCCGCCAAAACGCTCTCGACGAGAGCCACAAGAAGCCGTCCGCACAGCAAGCCGGTGGAGGCCGTGCGCGCGGAGTCACGATGGCGTGCCGGCTGTGGGCCCGGACGAAGGTCCTGGCTCGAAAACGCGAGCAGAGGCCGCCGTGTGGGGCCACGGCGAGGCTCGTGGTGTGCCTAGGTGGTGAAGTGCCAAAGACAACCCAAGGGATGGATGGGAGGGAGGCACGCCGCCACCACACAGGGATTTTAAGGAGAGCTAAATAAATAAAACGGACACACGATTTTAAGGAGAGCGCGAGAATATTTCTTTTTCGTGCCACAACTCGAGTACCCAGGACCCGGGTAGGGCTTGCCCCGGGCGTGTACCGGCGTGTATCATCGCCCTCGCCTTGTTTGGCCGATGGACAACCCACTCCGGGGCCTGGACCCGGTGACGCAGAACGTCGTCACTGGACTAGTGCTGGCACACGTTGCCGCTCTGGTGCGTCGCGCATATGCCCTACTCCACCGCCCTCCGGCACACCACTTACAGCGCACCGCCTTCCGGCATCACCCCTCGTGTGTGCAGGTGCTCTGGTGCATGCTCGCGTGCTGCTCCGGCCCGAGCAAACGGCAGAAGGCTGAATGATGGGAGCGAGGTATGTGCGGGGGGCCCGGCGGGCGACTGGCGGCTTGTTCCATCGCAGCTGGCCAGATCCACGGGTACTGTCAATCCAGAGTCGGGTGGCGACGGCGGCAGGCGGCGGCGGCGCGCCGGCGCTGAGGATGGGGCGAGCGCGGCGGGACGGCGGCGCGCCGGCGCGGAGGATGAGCGAGCGCGGCGGAGGCGGGCTCAGCCGCGGGTGGCCGCAAGCCCGGTGCGGCCGGGTTGAGAGATTCGCGCCCTTGCTCCTATCTTTGTACGTGTTCAGTACAATACTATTGGCAATGATGGAGCCGTGTCTCTGTGTTGCACGCACGCACCGTCCATTCTATTTTTGCGGGCAGACCTGTACCCTCACCGAGCGGTTGCTGACCGCGTGAACTCTCAGGGCGACGAGGACGACGCCGTCGCAGTCGCGCTGCGCTGCACCACACTTCAGCTCGACGACGTTGCCCTCGGGGTCCCTCACGTAGAGAGAGAAGCCCTGACCGTCCGCGCCGTACCGACTGCCCGAGGAGACCACCTCTGCGCCGCGAGCCGCGAGCCATTCGCGCGCCACCCGAACGTCAAAGTCGTCGCAGCGCAGCGCGAAGTGGTCGAGGGCGCTGGCCTCAGCGGCGGGGCTGCCGTTCGCAAACGCGAGGCTGCTCTCCATCGCGACGAAATCGATCAGCGACTCGCCCACGCGCACGTGCGACAGCGCGCCGCCGAAGCGGCCGAGCCACTCGGGCGCCCCGCCCAGCACCTCGATGTACCAGCGCGCCATCGCCTCGACCGACCGGCAGCGTAAAACGACGTGGTCGAGCCTCCGATGTTTGAAGGGGCACACCCGCACCTCCGCCACCGCCGCCGCCGCCGCAGCAGCTGGCGCCGCCGCAGCTGGCGCCGCCGTCGCCGCCGATTCAATCCGACGCGGCCGAGGGCGCGGCCGCGGCGGGATGGTGAGCGGCGGCGGCGCCTCCCCCTTGAGTGCGCGCGCCGCCTCGACCAGCTCACGCATCCGAGGGTCGGCGCCTGAAAGAAGAAATCGGAGCTCCCACCGGAAAAATCGACCCCGAGACGCCCCCGAGGCTTTGCGCCGGAGCCCGCCACGTGCGCCGCGTGGCTCTGCAGCATCATGGCAAGGCCGGGGTCGCTGGCCATGCACTCGCGCAACGACGCCTCGTACTCCTCGGCGTACACGGCGCGGGAGAGGATGCGCCTAGGAACGGTCCAGGAACGGTCCAGGAAAGGGACAGGCAAGGTCGGCGTACACGGCGCGGGAGGACGCGCTGGGCAGGCCCCATCCCTGCCACCACAGACCCCGCGCTCGCGCCGGGCGGGATCCGGATCCGGAGGTCGTCGGCCTACGGTAAACTCGGGTCATCTCGGGTGAGAGGGTGATCTCGGGCGGGGTCCGGATGCGGAGGTCGCTGGCCTCGTTGGAGCCAGCGCCGTCGCACCAAATCGTGAGGCAGAAGCGGCGGGCGGCAGAGGGGAGTACACGATGGAGGACCTGTGCGGGGGAGAGGGGGGTGGCGACGTCTTCGCCGCTCGAGGGAGCAAGCAGCACGTCTGGCCAGCGCCCCTCCTCAGCAGCATCGAGGGCGTGCGGCTCGGAAGAGGATGTGTGCGTGTGTGGGTGGATGTGTGTGGGTGGATGTGTGTGTGTGTGCGTGTGCGTGTGCGTGTGCGTGCGTGCGTGCGTGCGTGCGTGCGAGCGTGCGTGCGTGCGTGCGGGTGGGGGCGGGCGGGTGGGCTGGGCGCACTCGGTCGGAAAGGAAGAGGACGACGCGGCGGTGGGCGGGCGGCAGCACGACGCGCTGGCCGAGCCAGGGAGAGAGCTCGAGCTCGCCGCCGTCCCCCTCCCTCCACTCCTACTCAGGGCCAGGCGCATGAGCAGGCTGGGTTGCGGTGCGCCGCTTCCTCCTTCCGCCCGCCGCTCCTCGTTGAAGTAGCAGAGGATCGAGAGGCGCCGCCGGCTCGGAGGGCCTGCATTGTCGAAGTGGAGCGGAAAGCAGCCGCCGTGCCCCTCGTTGCACTGCAGCTTGACCGTCACGCCGTCAGGGTCCAGCTGCAGCTCCGGGAAGCTGCACGCCGCCGCCTGAGGCAGCTCGAGCTGGCCGAGGGCGGAGACGAGGTCAGGCGCTGCCGCCTGCACCGGCGCGTCCTCCAGCTCCGCCTCGAAGATGTGTGGCTTCGTGAGGATGCGCGGCGCGGCCGAGTCGGGCGGCTTGAAGCCGAAGCGGTGCTTCCGCAGCTGGCCAGATCCACGCAGCCGTGAAAGCGCCGCGGCGATGGCAGCGGCCGGCTCGGCGGGGATGCAGTCATCCAGCACGGCATAGCCGGCCTCGAGGAGCCGCGAGCTCGCGAAGCGCTCCCGGATGAGCGTCATCTCGTGTGTATGTATATGACTCAGCAGGGCACCCGGGGACGGGGGGGAGTCGGAGCAGACAGGGCCGCTGAGGGAGCGCTGGAAAGAGGCCGCCGAGGAGGGCGGCGACCTCAACCGACTATGGAGGACCACTAGGCAGCTCTCCAGTATCGTAAGATAGTCTTCTTAGTATCGAGGTCTCGTGAGTTTTGGCACTGATAAATTCGCGGCGTTCGCGGCGAGCCGAGCCAGGCCACGGGCTCGGCCTGCTGAGAGAAGACCTCCCCCGACGGCAGTGACAATTTACTCTAGTGTGTTTACAAACATATGGCCTCCCACCGCATCGGCGCCCGCCTGTCTGGCCTCTCGCCAGAGCAGCTCGTCGCCTTCATCGACGAGCAGGCGCCTCTCTGGAGCGCCGCCGCGCTGCGCGTGGCGGAGGAGCACGCCGCACGGCTCGAGCAGCCCGAGTGGGTGCTCTCCGAGGTCCTCCTCTCGCCGGACCTCGCCCCGCACATCCTCGCCCAGCTGCCGACCACGGAGCACGCCGTCAAGGGCACGTGCCGCGCGTGGCGCCGCGGCTGGAAGGAGACGCTCAAGAAGCGCGAGAGGCCGCGATTGCTCGTGTTTGGCGGCCACGACACGGACGGCAGTGTCCTTAGCTCGCTGGAGCGGTACGACCCGGCGGAGAATACGTGGGGAAGAGAGGCGATGGCGCCAATGCCGACGGCACGGAGGGATGTGAGCATGGCGGTCTTCGACAGTAAGCTGTATACGGTGGGTGGCCAGCGGGCCGACCTCACGCTTTCCGCCTCAGCTGAGCGGTACGACTTTGCTTCAAAGGCATGGGAGAATATGGCGCCGATGGCGGCGGCTCGGACTTTGCTCGGCGTGGCGGTGCTCGACGGCAAGCTGTATGCTGTGGGCGGAAGGGGCCGAGGCTATTTGAAATCGGTGGAGCGGTACGATCCGGCGACGGATGCCTGGGAGTCGGTTGCGGCGATGTCAACGGTGCGGTGCTGTTTCGGCGTTGCGGCGCTTGAAGGCAAGCTGTATGCCGTTGGCGGGCTCGTCGGCGACGCCAGCGTCGAGCGGTACGATCCAGCACTGAATGCGTGGGAGACGGTGGCGCCTATGGCGCAGTCTCGCGCAAACCTCGCCGTTGCAGTTCTCGACGGCAAGCTGTACGCTGTCGGCGGGTTTGACGGTGTTGGCCGCCTCAATTCGGTGGAGCGGTATGACCCGGCGCAGGACGCGTGGGAGGCGGTGGCGCCAATGGCGAGGGTACGGCAGGCTCACGGCGTCGCGGTGCTAGATGGCAAGCTGTACGCCGTTGGCGGCAGCTTGACCAGCTCCGTGGAAAGATATGACCCTGCGGCGAACGCGTGGGAACTAGTGGCGCCGATGACGGTAGGTCGGCGGGATCCTTACGTTGCCCACGGTTAGGGCAGCTCTTACTAGTTACTAGCAACTAGAGCGAGACGGGGGCTCTTAGTTACTAGTTAGAGAAAGGAGAAAGTGAAACGGCATCTGTTTCAAAGAAAGCAAACTCTGTTGAAGCGCAATGAGAGGCTCAGTCAGCTCACTGGGACACTGCTCAGCCTCAGGGATCGTGAACACACTCACACACAGTCACAGTGACACAGTCACAGAACCGCACCTGCAAAAAACTGAAAACCCCAGAAATTGCGCCTGGCGAGGTACTTCCAGCCTGCTGTGGGAACAGCTGAACGCTGCTCGCCAAGGCTCGCGCCTCGCCCCAGCATCTCGGGTTCCCTCGCCCCCCTGAGGCAAGGGGACCCCGTGAGTCGTGGGAGTGCCGCGCCAGAATTGCGCCCGCCGCCGCAAGTTGTGGCCTGCGATGCCCTCCTCTGCCGGCGCGCTTGCGCTCGCCCTCCTGTCCCTCGCCTGCTGGGGAACCTGGTCCAACACAGCCAAGGCAGCCACCCACCTACCGTTCGCACTCTACTACTGCGACTTCACGCTCGGCGTCTTCGTGACGGCTGCCGTTGTGTTCATCACAATTGGAGACGGCCGTGTCTTCCTCTTTGAGGATGGTGCTGCTGCCGGCGGTTTGCACGTTCTGGCCGCGCTTGGTGCCGGCGCAGTCTTCAACCTCGCAAACGTCCTGCTCGTCTCCGGCGTCAGCCTGGCAGGGCTAATCGTAGCCTTCCCCGTGGGCATCGGCACTGCCCTTGTGCTTGGCACACTCCTCACGTTTTGGATCGACCCCGCCTCGACTAGCTATCCCGCGCTGCTCTTTTGCGGTGTCGCCGCCGCCTTCTGCGCCATCGTCGTGCAGGTTCTCGCCGATCGTGAGCACCGAGGTTCGCGGCAGAAGAGGGACGGCGTGACAGAGCTCGAGCACTCTTGCGAAGTGCCCCACAGCGACGGCCATTTGCGGCGAGCCGAACGCGGCGGCGTTAACGGCGGCGGGTTGGGCGGCAACGCGGGCGCGACCATCATTTGCGCGGTGAGCGGCGTGCTGATGGCTTGTTGGAGCCCGCTCAACGCATTCGCCATGCGCACCGCGCCCGACGGCACGTGCGATGGATGCCTCGCGCCGCTCGGGTCGTCCTTCCTCTTCACAAGTGCAGTCTTATTGACGTCGCCCGCAATTTGCGCCTGTCTCATGCGGTGGCCGCTCGTCGGTAGCCCCACCACCTTTGCCACCTACGCCAAGCTCTCCCCCCGCGACCACGCGCTGGGCTGGTTGGGCGGTGCTATCTGGGCAGTCGGAACTGTCTCCAACCTGTTGAGCGGCAGCAAGCTCGGTCTCGCGCTCTCGTATGCAATCGGCCAGGCTGCGCCGATGGTCGCCAGTCTGTGGGGGCTGGTATACTATCGCGAGTTCGCCGGGGCCAGCTACCGCACCGCCGCGCTGGTGGCATCCATGTTTGTGCTTTACCTGGCTGCCATCGCCCTCACCGCGTGCAGCAAATGACAGCATTTCATCTGTTTAGTCTGTAATGTCGCCCGTGCACCGCGAGAGAGCCGTCCGCTGGCGGGTGCCCTGACGTCTCTGACGCGTGACGCACGTAGCCTCCTCGTTCTCGAGACTCGCCACTCGGTTTTCTGTGGTAAATAACCTGGTAATATTCGTAATAACCTATTTTTTACGCGGCGTGGCGCTCCACTCCACGGTGACACGACCCCTCATCGCCTTCACGCCACGGTCCTCTGTCCGCCCGCCAGTTGAGCGAAACGCCGAAGGCAACCTTCGCGACAACCAGCAGCACGAGCATCGCGCCGCCCGCGCCCCAAAGGACGCGAATGAAGAGGGAAAGCGCCGCCTCCGCCTCACGCGCGCGATCCGCCGCACTCGCCGCGCCGCCGCCGACGCCCGAGAGGGACTTGGCCAGCAGCAGGGCGAGCGACACCAAATAGCCGCCGAAATCGGAGAGGAAAACGAGGAGGGCGATTGTGCCTAGATGCCACGCGCATTCCGATCAGGCCGCGCCCACGGGCAGACATGAAGAGCGCGGATGTCGGCGCCCTCGGTGCGCGTCGCGGCGAGCAACCGCTCGTAGAATGGCGTCCCCATGGTCGCGTAGCACCTACGACAGCCTCCCGCCGCGCGTCGACCAATCGCGAGTCACAGCAGAGGGGGCGCCCCGTCGTCCGGAGCACAGGAAGACGCCCGTGCCCAGCAGCAGCTGCCACGAGCCGCCTCCGAGCAGACCCAGCTGCCACGCGCCCGTCGCGACGAGGGCGAGGCAGGTCGCTGCGATCATGACAGACAGCATCGCCTGTACGCTCGCGGCGGCAAGGTGTGGGAGAGACGCCCTTCGGCCCGCGATGATGCGCACCGGCACCGCCTGCATCGCGCGGTGAGAGTCGCGGATACGACCAAAGGCGACGAGAGTCGCGGCGGAGACGAGGGCGCCCGGCAGGTCTGCGGTCCAGAGGATCCAGCCGGGCGCCGCGCCGCCGGGGGCGCCGAGCGAGGCGGCGAAGAGCTGTTCACAGCACGAGGCATGTGAAGAGGCGCTGTTGACACCCTGGCGCCGGTGGAGGCGGCGTCCGGATCGGTGGAGGCGGTGGTGGGGAGGGTAGGCTGGGGGTGGTGTCGAAAGGGTTGGTTGTGGCGGTCGCGAGGGTGCGAGGCGAGGACCTGGTCGGCGAAGAGGTCGCGCAGCGAACGCACCCCAGTGAGGAGGGCGTAGGCAACGCAGAGCGGCGCGAGGCCGCATGCCCACCGCCGGAGAAAGGCGCGCCTGTCGCGAGCCACGCTCATCTCGGTCGATGTCGGTCGATGTCGGTCGATCTGTCGCAGGCCACGCCGAAACACGCCCGGCGCGGGGATGTGTCTTGTCTGTGTGTCTATCGTCTTGTTTGTGTGTCCGTGTGTCCGTGTGCCGCCCCATACCCCAGTGTGGTCGTCTCTCCGTCTCGCTTAGCGTGCCACCCCGTACCCCTGGGTCCAGTCGCTGGTCACCCTGGTGTCTTCACGCTCTCCAGTCTGTCTATAGCGGGGAGGAGCGGGGGAGACGCGCGCGCCTCGCCTCGCCGCCCATAGGCCTTCGAGCGGTGCGGGCGGCGACGTCGGCGGCGCTCGGTCGCGGCGCTCGGTCGAGCAGCAGCAGGAGCGCGGCGCTCGGAGTCCACGCGCACGCGCCGACGGCGAGCGGCATCGCAGCCGGCGACACGCCCGCAGAGAGGAAGGCGCTGCCGGCGCCGGGGGTGGGAGGGGTTGGGTGGGAGCAGTGGGTCAGCTGGGTGCGACGAGGACATGCACATGACATGCACATGCACATGCACATGCACATGCACATGCACATGCACATGACAACATGCACATGCACATGCACATGCACATGTGCATGCACATGTGCATGCACATGTCGGTGGCGTGGGCGTGTGATAAGGCGAGAGAGAGCACGCACACTGCTGCTGCCACTGCTGCCACTGCTGCCACTGCTGCTGCCACTGCTGCTGCCACTGCTGCTGCTGCCACTGCTGCTGCCGCTGCTGCTGCCGCTGCTGCTGCTGCTGCCACTGCTGCTGCTGCTGCTGCTGCTGCTGCTGCTGCTGCTGCTGCTGCTGCTGCTGCTGCTGCTGCTGCTGCTGCTGCTGCTGCTGCTGCGGCTGCTGCTGCTGCTGCTGCTGCGTCTCCACCTCCACCTCGACCTCTTGCTCGTCCTCCTCCTCGTCCTCCTCCTCGTCCTCCTCCTCCTGCTGCTGCTGCTGCTGCTGCTGCTGCTGCTGCTGCTGCTGCTGCTGCTGCTGCTGCTGCTGCTGCTGCTGCTGCTGCTGCTGCTGCTGCTGCTGCTGCTTACTAGCGCGCCGCGGCTCGCGTTGCCGGCGTAGATGAGGCAGAGCGTGGCGAGGGCGACGTGCCTAATTGATGAGCCACCACGATCCACAGCTCGCCTCACGGTATCCGCCCGACGGTGAGGCTGCCCGCCGCTCGGTGGTGACGCGGCCCTCGAGGTAGGTGAGCATGCACCCTGCGGGCAGAGTGTGTCGCCGAGGGCAGGTTAATGTGCTAGTCTTGCGCTGAGGCGTGCGCTGGCAGAGCTCTATGTGTGCTGCAGACTCACCCCAGAGAAAAGAAGAGAGGAAGGCAGAGGCAAAGACGGCGCCAACCTTCGCGGCGGGATGCGGCGCCGCGAGGCCCGCGCCCTCGATGAGCATCGACGAGGTGATCAGGGAGAGGAGAAGCGTGCGGCGGTGGCGGAAGAAGAGCCGCGACGATGCAAAGTGTGCCGCAGGCAGCTTTGCGGCCGCAAATCCGCCGATGAAGGCAAAGGATATGCAGGACCGCAGGGTAAACCCGCCACGCACCGGCACATCGAGCACATCGGGAGGAAGCACAAACGCGGGGTAGCGCCAAAAGTAGGTGCACGCGTAGGACAGTGCGCAGCAGATCGAGGTGATCCACTCCCACTGCGAGCGGGACGGCGCGACGACGCGGCGGAGAAGTGGCGCGTCGTCTTGGCTGGCGCAGCAAGCCACGTCCGCGTCCGAGGATGACATTGCTCGAGTGTGCACAAGTCTCTCTCACAGCACACTGGCTCGACAAGGGCGCCGACTGGCGCGGACTGGGCAAGCAGGTTCGTTGTGAAGAACTGGGCGCGCCACCCAGAGCCTACCTGGTGCGGATCGGCCGACAACCCCCCCTACTGAAAGTAAGAATACTAACCGGTTTTGCTGTTCACAGCTAGTGACGGCCTCTGCGGCAAAGTCAAACCACCCCACCTGACCCACCGACCACCACCCACCAGCACCGCCTCCCTCCCACCACCGCAGCAAACCTTCGGCTCCCGCTCAGAGGCGCGCCGCGCCCGTGCGGCGCGCCGAGGCGGCGCCGAGGCCGGCGCCTTGCACCCGGCCCGCGGCCGGCACCGCCTCGCCCCACAACTGACCGCCCTGCGGCCCCTGCGCAGGCATACCACAGGCGTCGCTCAAAAAGCGACGGCCGGGTGTGGGCTGATCCCTTGACCCGTCACCCGCCGCGCCCTCGCCCGGCCGCCTCACCGCTCACGGAGCGCTCGGCTGCTCGCCGCCGCCGCCGCGCGTCCCGCGCCGCCACGCATGCCCCTTGCCCTGACGCGCGCGCTCTGCGGCAGATCGCGCGTCTGTCACAGACGGAGCAGCGACCGCGCCAGCGGTCGCTGCTCCGCCCCTCCGTCGCGCGCGCCGCGCGCGCGCTGCCGCCGCCGCGTCGAGACGTGCGCCGGCGCGCTGGAGGAGGCCCTCGCTCGCGGTGCCACGTTCGTGATGCGGGACGGGGTGGTCGACTGCTCGAACCAGCACCCGAGCGGCTTCCTGCTCCAGTCGCATTGGAACAGGGCCGCGTTCAGCCGCTGCCGCAAGGAGGCGGCCCTGCTGCGCCCGCAGTCGGGGCGGTACCAGATCGGGTGGTACGCGAAGGCGAAGACGGTGTCGGATCGGGCGGTGTCGTCGAGCCACAACCGGCTAGGCAAAAGGGAGAGGAAGGCGTCGCGAGCGCAGCAGCGCGCACCAGTGCCGCCGCCGCCGGCGTCGTCTCTTCCCTCGTCCTCGTCACACACCGTGTCCAGTGTAGCGAGCGCGTTGTCCGCGGGTGGGCTTGAGGAGTTTCCCAACTATTCGGGGGGGGGGGGGGAAACATGGCGGGGGGGGGCGGGATCCAAGGGGGCGCAGCCGTCGCCGTCGGCACCGCCGTCGCCGCCCGAGCCGGTCGGCCTCGCGCCTGCCTACCCGCCGCCAACGGGACCGGCGCACGGAAAGGAGTACCCCTCTGACGAGGACGGAGACGGCCCCTACGAGACCGAGGTCGAGGGTACCGCCGACGCCGAGGCCCTCGTCATGGGTGGGCGCGCGGCCAGCGTCGCGTCGGGCGGCGCGGACACGGAGGGGAGGACTGGGCGCGGACACGTCAACCTCGCCGACGCGGACGGCATCACGCTGACCACGGCCGGAGGGGCGAGGGCTCGGCTCTATGCGGAGACACGTTGCAACGAGTCGGATCGACCCTCCGGGAGCGTAGGGGGGCCATCGACATCGACGCCCCCGCCCTCCCCCCAGAGCCAGCAAGGGGCGCCGTGGGCCGCGAGGGCGGAGCACATCTGCCATGCGAGGGGACGCACCCGATGCGGCCTCGGCAGGACCACCCCCCCGCCGACGGGGTTTCACTCCCCCCAGCCGACGGTGGGCGATGAGGGGCCGCCGCCGTCGGCGCCGCCGTCGCCGCCCGAGCCCGTCACCTCCGTGGAGACTGACGCGCCATCGGCGCCGCCGTCGCCGCCCGAGCCCGTCGCCTCCATGGAGACTGACGCAGGGGCGGAGCGAGCAGCGGAACGGGCGGCGCATCGGGACCTACGCGCTGCGCACGAGAACTGGAAGGGGGGGACAGCCGCCGCAGCAGGCGAGCGCATCCCGAGCCGGGGCTGCACCTGCGGATCGGCCTTCCCCGACACGGACTCTGCCACAAAGGACACGAGACAGCCCGGAGAGGTTCGTGCCGGCGGCAGACAGGGTGAGACAACGACGGGATGCGATCCGAGAAGCCGAGAGGGATCGAGTGGCCGCGGTGGCGGGCGAGAAGGCGGTCCTGGCGGAACTCAGAGCGATCGGGCTGTCGTTCGCGGCCAGCACCGGCGTGCTCAGGCCAGTACAGGCACGGGAGGTGCGGGGCCTGGCTAAACGACTGGTTGGCTCGACGGACCTCCTTGGACAGGTTTTCCGGTGGGAGGGGGAGGACTACCTCGTCAACGACATCGCACCGGGGCCGACACAGTCGGGGGGGCAGGCGCTGAAGGCGTACGCCTGCTGTGTGAGGAGGCGGGTGGCATCGGCGGGCCCGCTGTCTGAACAAAACTCGGCCTTTGATATTCGGGCGGTGCGGGACCGAATCGAGAAGGACCGAGTGAGGGGGGAGGCGGCGCAGCTACTGGGCAGTCTACGACCTGGCGCAGAGCAACGGGAGGGAGAGGCGGGGCCGTCGGCGGATCCAGGCCCTGGCCCCCCCCCTCCTCGAGGGGAGTCGAGAGCTCGGCCCCCCCCCACGAGCGGGGTAGACGGCCGACGCGTGGAACCACGGCTGGAACGGCCGCAGAGGCAGGGGGCATCCCCCGAGGCCCCGCCCCAGGGGGTGCGGCGGCCGGCGCCGCCACCGGGCCCGCCCCCGCCACCACCACCTCCGCCCCCGCCACTGGAACGACCGCTGGGTCGAGGAGCCGCCCCTGAGGTTCCGCACCAGGCGGTGCGGCCGCCAGTGCCGCCATCGTTTCCGCCACCCGCACTGCCATTTCCACCCCCGCAACTGGAACGGCTGCAGGGTCGTGGGGCCGGCCCAGCGGCTCCACACCAGGCGTTTGGGCCGCGAGGGCCGCCACCGTACCCGCCGGCCCTACCGCCGCCTCCACCCCCGCCGCCGGCGGGGCTGCCGCCGTATGGACCCGCTCGGAATGACCTGGGGGGTCCGGGGCCGCCCCGCCGGAAGCTGGTGTACCCGGGAGGAGGAGATGGGGGAAGGGAGTCACCGCGGTATGATAGCGGACCCACCGGCGAACCGGAAAGCCGAGGCCGGAGGGCCCCAGGGGGGGCTTGGGGTCAGTTGTCGGAGGAGGCGAGAGATGAGCTGACGCGGCCTTTGAGAGTGGAGTCGGGACATACAGACGAGCCGAGGACGACAGAGAGACCGCGGGGGCGGGCGCGAATCCTCGACCGAAGAGAGCTGGCCCCACCTCCCGGGGAGGGGCGGCGTGGCGATCCAATACCGCCACCCTCGCCCGAGGATTCGGGCACGGGATCGCCGGAGGCGGAGTCAACAGGAGCAGGCAGAGAGGGCGAGACGGCAGCGGGGCCGCGGCCGAAAAAAGCTAGGAGGGGGAGCCGGGCCCCGCATCCGTTGCCCAACCAGCGGAAAGCGAGTGGGGGGAGGCCAAACGGAGAAGCCCCGAGGGATGACGTCGAGTGAGGATGTACGTCGTGTGCGTGTCTGGTGTTTATTAGCTCCGAGTAGAGGGGGCGCTCCGCTGCTAGGGGAAACCTGGAGCGCGGACTAACCCTCGGAGACCCATGTTTTCTTTAAGGCCCTTTCCCTGCGAACGCGCACCCCCTGGGCTAGGGCTCTCTTGCCCGCAACCCGATGCCAATCATCCGGCCCGCTGGGTGCGCTTCTGAGCTCCCCGGCCCTGGATGTGCGGTTAATGACTGCACTCCAAGTGCTCCAAGAGGAACAGGAAGAAGCGACAAGAGAGAATAAATAACTAAATAACTAAAACGGACACACCAAACAAGGGGTGGGAGAAGGACAGGGTCCCCACCTGCACGAGCAGGATCTTGTAAGGACGATATCAGGGAGAGAACGACGAGAGTG